TGAACATATGCATATGTGCTGAAAGCTTTCCCACATTGCTTACATACATAGGGTTTCTCCCCAGTATGAACTTTTTCATGTGTTTGACAATTACCACTTGTGCTGAAAGCTTTTCCACATTGCTTACATACAAAGGATTTCCCCCCACTGTCATTTTTCTCATGGATCTGAATATCACTGTCTGTGCTGGAAGCTTTCAAATTTTTCTTACATACAAAGGCCTTCTCTCTAAGATGAGTTCTTTCATTAAGATCACAGGAGATTTTCCCACATTGATCACATTCACAGGATTTCTCTCCACCTTTTGTCCTTGTATGCCTTTGAAAGGACTGGAAATCACTGAAGTTCCTTCTATGTTGATCACATTTATGCAAATTGTCTTTGGGTCCCAAGTATTTACATGGCTTCAGTGCAGCTGGAGCTATGACGGGCATACTTTGTGACAAATGACCAATCAGAGGCTCCCTACAAGCAAGGCTGTCAGCTGGTGTTGAACCAGCTTCTTTCCTGTGCACATTAGCAACTGGAGTCCAAATTAATGTTTTTTCATATTGATTCCAAGCTTTACATTGATAGCATTTCTCTGCTTCTTCGTTGCTGTAAAGAAAAAGTCACAATACAATGGGTCTCCATATTAATAATTTACCAGAAGAAATTCTGTTTGAGGCCTGCTAAGAAATTTAGACAATGAATTAACAGGATGTCTGGAAGGCAGTCTTCAAAACACAAGAGTGGTATTCACGTAGGAACTTTTAACTGGGTATATTTTCCAATACAGAAAGTTTAGCTTCATTTTGGGCAATTTGCACATAGGTGTATCACATACTGATCATTTTGATACCTTTTCTCCCATCGCTCTACCCCTTCTCTTCTTACCCTGTTTGTTTTTCCCCTCTCCAAAATACCAGCTTTTCCTTTTTCTATCACCTCTCCTTTAATTTACTCACTAATATTTTTTGGTTTGTCATACAAGAGAAACCATGTGATATTTCACATTTTATGCCTGAGTTATTTCACTTAACATGATGAAGATCCACCTATTTCTTTTAGCAAACATGATATTATTCATATTTTTGGCTAACTATATACCCATTGTCTGTTTTCAGTGCTAGGAATTAAACAGAGGTCTTAGAAAAAGACTGATTTTTTTTTTTTTTGGTACCAGGTATTGAACTCAGCTCCTTGCACTTGCAAAGCAGGTGGCGGAACCACTGAGGTAAATCCCCAGCCCTTAGAGGTCTTAGAAAATAACTTCCAGCTTTTTAATTTCTTTTGAGACATATTCATTGATGATTAAGTGCTTTAATTAATCTGCTTTCCAGATACCGGAGTGACAAGAATGAACCATCACAATGAACATATCTACAATGTTCTTTATGTGTGCATCCATCCAGACATCAAACTGATTCCAGAGCTTAGCCAGTATAAATTGGCCTGCTTTGACTATGGGTATGCATATAGGTATGCATATATAAGTACAATATGATGATTTTCACTCTTTTGAGAATATACCCACGAGAGGTATGCTTGGATCAAACTGAAGTTCTGCTTTCAGCTTCTGAGACATCTGTGTACTGATTATCATAGTGGCTGTACTTAACATTCCACCAGCAACTTTGGAGAATGCCTTCTAAGAATTTTAAATCATTAATGGACTCAATTCTCTGCAGAATGTCTGGAAAAGACCTACCTCAACACTAGCATTCATCTGTACTTTCAATACTGCTTCAAAGTTAGCAATTTTTAGTCACTGAATGTCTTAAATGTATACATGAATAGGTATCTTGAAGATAGGTTCCTGTCAAAATTCCAAGTTTATTCTTTACATATACATCTATTTATAGGAGCCAGGGATTTAGCTTAGTGGTTTAGCCGCCTGCTGTGCAAGTGCAAGGACCCAAGTTCGATCCCCGGTACCAAAAAAACACCAAAAAAACAAAAAAAAAATCTATTTATAATACCTAAATGCAACTTCATACATTTTTACAGTTAGGCTGGGGATTTCGCTTAGTGGTTCCACTGCCTGCCTCCAAGCACAAGGTCCCTAATTCGATCCCTGGTACCAAAAAAAGTGAAGTTAATCTGGTGCTAAATGTCTCCAGTCCTAATGTTAAAAAAAAAATTTTTATGATTAAATTGTCAGATTATACATACTCAAGCTGTATACAACTTTGGAGAATATTTGTGACACTAAATTGCACTTGTGCTCATTTCCTTGATTGTCATGTTTCTACTCACACACAGAGTATTGAGGAACATTCTTTTTCCTTGTGAATGGAAATTACCTTAGATTTTTCCAGTAATTTCTGTATTCTTCAACTTCCTGATTACTCCACGTTCTTCCTGAGTTGTAGACATAGAAATAGAATGACTCGTTATAGTATTACATAAAAATTAAGATTCCAATTAGATTCATGATATAATGTAGTATATTCTTCAAAATATTTTCTCTGTCTAAAGAGACAGCACAGATGAGTAACAAGCAATATTCTGTGATTGTATAGATGAGAAAGAGATGTCATCCTTACCTATAGCAGCTATGTTCCTAAAAGTTTCTCCCATCACATCTCTGTAGAGCTTCTTTTGGGATGGATTCAGCAAAGCCCACTCCTCCATGGTGAAATTCACAGCCACATCCTCAAAGTTAATTGCATCCTAAACATCATAGAGAGATTTCTCAAAGGAAGGTTGAGACTCACAGCATAGGATCCCTCAACTCCTCTCATAAAAAATTGAATTCAGAGCTAGGTGTGGTGTGCATATGTGTATCCCCTGCACTCAGGAGGCTGAGGTAGGATTGCCATGAGTTCAACTCCAGTGTGGGCTCCACAGTGAGTTCAAGTCCAACCTGAACTACATAGTGAATCTCTGTCTCAATAAAACAAAACAAAAAATAAGCTGAATGGACATTGAATCATTCAAATATTAATATCAACTATTAATTCCATGTCTTCTCATCAATTTGAAACATATGCACATTTTTTTCAGATAATAATTGTAATGGAAGAGCAGAATAGGAACATCCAGAGAATACACTGTGCTATTATTCCTGGAGATAGATGTGAATCTTTTCAAATAAACTTGAAAAATTCTGAATCACATGACCAATGGAATGGATAAGATAATAGTTGGTTCGTGATTCACCTATCAGCACTTGTGAACAATAGTGAGAGAAAATAAAAAACCTCTAAAAATAGTTCTCTTGCAATTTCTATAAGTCAGGTATTAAAAATCCCAAGGGAGGAAACTAAAAGAACATTGTTCATAGAAACTCACATATGGGACACTTAGGAAAAGTCCCCACCGTGGGATAGTGTTCATCCGTAGGGCAAGAGAGATTGAGTCAGATCGTGTGTCAATCATTTGGATGTTCTCATCCATTGCTCAAGGCCCAGTGAAAAACCTTTCTGAATATTCCTAGGATATTCACATTGTTATTAGTGTTAAATCCCACCAACAATTTTGAAAATAAAATTTATTGTAAAATATTCAAACACTAAGTTACCGTTAAGAAACCACATAATAATTTATATCTGCGTTCATGTATAAAACATAAGACATCATTTGCACACTGGTCAACAATAAGCAAAGCAGCACAGGGCCAGAGATTTAGCTCAGAGGTTCCGCCACCTGCCTCGCAAGTGCAAGGACCTGAGTTCAATCCCTGGTACCAAAAAAAAAAAAAAAATAGCCATAGGCAAAGCAGCACAGTGGCAAACAGGAGGCCCCTAGAACCCGAACAAGCCATGCTCAAACTATATTGCCCATCAGGAGACATCAGGTTAGACTGTAAGAGAAAGAGAGAACAGATATCAAAGCTAATCAATGACTACACATCTGGGTTATGGTCCCAATGCTGTGCCCATCTGGACAGGAGTGGTTTTTATGTTGACATATGGGAGGGCAATGAATCATCAAATTACCTAGGAAGGGGAAGGGCAAGGGATAAAGAGAAAAAAGACAATAGAGATTTGTGTAATTTCAAAGTATATGGGGCGCAGGGAGGTCAGTGCCTCAGAGTGGACAAAGAAGAGTCTAACCAAGTTATCCACTATTTATTGGGTACACACAATAATTGGACGGAGTATAGGTTGACTTGGGGGGGTGGAGGTGATCTGAGGTCTGATCCTGTGCAGATGCAAATCTCATGCTGGTGAGAGCAAAAAGGAGAGCATTCCCAGCTCAGTAGGTGGGATGAGCTGAGCTGATGAGCAACTCCTCCCTCCCCAGGTAAAACCTTTCTCTTTTGTATTCTACTTGGTTCTCAAGAAACCAGGACGTCTCCTGGTGGTGTCATCTTGCCATTGAGACCCATAGCTTCACAGACCATTGAGGCATTAGCTGTGACCAGAGGCAAAACAGAGTTATGTTTCCACATGCCATATCCCACTCTCTGGCAAGGCACCGTTTGGCCTTAGACAACTACAGCCATGCTTTAATTTTGAAATGATTTTTCCCCAAAATTTATGTAGAAATGCTCCTGACAATAACGTCAGTGAGGGTAGATTTTATAGAAAGATATGCAAAATGATTCACAATTCTATCAATAATTCAACAAAATCTTCAGAATCTATATTAATCTGACATTATTCAATTTGTACCTTAAACAATGATTACAGTGATCAGATGAACCATTTCTCTATAAAGAACAGTCTTTGATACATATTCTACTAAACAGACCATCAAATTATATGAACCAAAACATGAACATGAAGAGAAATTCATTGATTCGCAACTATGTCTGAAGATGTCAAAACAACTCCATCAGTAATTGAGAGCTGAAGAAGAAAGAAAAATCTGCAATGGAACAGTTAAAATAAACAATATTGTGCTTCATGGGGATTGGTTGGATACTGGATAATACTTCATCTAATACATAGTGCAAAGTCTTCTCAAAATCACAAGAAATGTTCACGCAAATAGGTCATGTGTAGAGCAACAATAGAGAATTTAATTTCTAGGGGGAAAATAATTGAAATATGTTATGGACATGTACCAACTCCCTACAATGAATGCAGTCATTATGTACTTTAAACACATAGCAATAAAAGTAAAAAAAAAAAAAAGTTGCCCATCAACTGGAGACTGGATAAAGAAAATGTGGGTTTTTTTATAAAATGGAGTACAACTCAGCCATAAAAAATGAGAAATTAGAGACATTTATAGCTGAGTGGATGCACATTGAGGCAATACTCTTAAGTGAAATAAATAGGACACAGATGTGTAAATACTGAATAGTTTTGCTGGT